GGGGGAAGGGGGAGAAGGAGTTTGGTGAGGCTGATGTGGAGAGAATTTTGAAATTATAGAAGAAAGATGTAACAGACTGAGCTGAGTCCAATCCTGCAACACAAGTATAATGGGAGGTATGAATTGTGTCCAGATCCCTTCCTGGAAGGGTGATCGTCCCACCCATCTCGGAGTACCACCACACAACCCCATTCTTCCAAATCGTTCCTTTTTTTTAAAGCGTAAGTTGAAAGCGGGAAGATAAAAAAGGCGCAGATAAGCTCCGGCCAACGATAATGCAAAAGGCTCTGAGTTCTGTAAGATTTACACTAGGCGTAGAATTTAATGGCATGATCACGCGTCATAGAAGCTACCCAAGTAACCCAAAAGTAGTGGGCCATAAGCGACCCAGGCACTACACTGGCGGATTTCTGCCGGGGGAAGGAATGTGACGGCAAGTTGGACGTGCAGTTGCTGGCCCGCTACCTATTGTAGGTAGGAGGGCCACCAGCGTTCTCTGAGCTGGTGGCCCTTCAGGTCAGGGTAGAGAATGTAGCTGGTACTCCCCTAGATGCACTACCAAGAGTCCCCACTAGATGGTACCCCCAGTTCCATGTACCCAACAAATGCAATGAAGTACCTGCCTTCTTGATTTAGCAAAAGTGTTTCTTCCTCGTTTTTCCCTTTTTTTAATGTGCAATTTATAAACAGGTACTAGGAAATCGTGGAATTATGATGTTTTTATTGCAATATAAGACTCGGGGAGTTATTAAATGCTGAAGTTAAGTATGAGAATTCAGTAGTGTAGAGGAATAGGGGAGGGTAGAGGAAATGAGGTTGCCCAATGTCATATAATGTACGGTATATGATATGCTTTACAGCTCGTAAACCTCTACCCCCTCCCCCCCCCCCCCCCGAGGTCCTTGTAAGATGCGGATGAGGAGAGCAGTGGGTCATCTTGGTAAAAAATACTCTTGAGTGCTCTTCTATCAATACATAGGCTCCAGAGCCAAGACTTACAGATAATTCGGATATATAAGGAGGCATCAAAACCCTTCCCAGCTGGTGGTACACCACAAACGAGCTAACTGGTAATATGCTGGCCCTTAAGCGGCCCGGAAGGTGGCGGGCTAGTACTGGCAAGTGGGACATGTACTTGGTGGTCCACAACCCAAGGAAGTTAGTGGGCCACCAGCTCTCTTCCCCAAATGTAGGTAGTGGGCCACAACCTACGTGCTACTTGGGTATCTTTAATAGACAAATATGATGAAATTTTCACAGTCACCATCAAAGACATTGTCTTCTCATGAGAAGAGTAAAAAGGCGTATTGCAGCTGAAAGTGCTTCAGAGAACTTTTTGATCATCCCACGTAAGACTATCTCTTGATGAAGCGGAGCCTCTGGAAATTTGTGTTTTCTGCATTCTCCCCTATAGTGGGGTGGTAAGAATTCAATCTGGAAACAGTGTAGATGCAAATTCCAAGATGTAGGGTGGATTTTTGAACAGAGCATTATCCGATAATGCAGCTTTATTTCGGAGAAAATGCATTATAAATCCGGTAAATAAAGCTGAGACTGTTGTTATGATAGGATGTTTCGAGTTGTTGTGTGCTGTCCAGTCAGTCGCTGCTCTCTTACTGTTTTATCGAATTCCGGAATGGAGGACTGCAGTCACCCGAAAAAAAAACTCTACAAAAACCTGTGGAATCTCCTTTTCCTCACATAATTGACCTCCGTTCGATGAGTGTCGATTCTCACTTAGAGCCAAGACACAATTGCCCTTAGGCATTATGCAAATTTTCTTTGCCCTACAGTCACAATCATACAGGCCCAATCAAAAGCATGCAACACCCAAAAAAAATTGGAATATCCCTATGGAAATTAAAGTTCATTGGAGAAAAATACGAGAAATTTTGCAGTTGCACATCAACTTGATGAATCACTTAAAGATTTTCGTGGACATCTGCATTTATTGCATCTTTTAATTCGATCCCGGATGTCAGAATGTTGGAAATGAGATGCGAGCTCGCATCCCGGATGCGACGAAGACCAGATCCTCAATTAACCAGACCTATGCTCCGCATGCCAACAGACCCGGAAAAATATTCCGGAAAAATATTCCATATTCATAACTAGGGAGCTTGCTTGCTTTTCGGCAAACCGACTCTCTATAGACGTGCTTCCGGCACTCTATAACGAAGAAAAATTACTAATGCATTACTAAATTACTAATTTACTTTTTTTTCGAAGTTCATGTCTAATTATGCAGCCAAACTCCTTGATTTATGTCGGTAATTCTCGAGCCTTCGGCGCTTGTACCTTGAAAAAATAGTTATTTCAGAATATCTTCATAGTGACGTCATATGACCTCCAGCATCAGTATCACGAGGTAAAAATTCGTCGTTTAGTGTTCCTATAGTGAATTTAATTCCCGTTCTTGGTCGTCACAGATTTCTTTGCATGCAAATATCTAAAAGATAAATATAGCATCAGACACATGAGCTCATTGCATCAGCGTTTTACCCACATGATTATTTGGGTCCCACGTAGTTTGTATGGGGGAATTTTGTCGTAATATTCATATATCATTTGGGCACAAGGACTCTGGTGAAGTCCCCTTTAAAACTCTTCCTAAGCCTAATGACAGTGGAAATGAGGAAATACTTCATTCCGAAACATTTTCATGCTCCCTTTTTGCTGAGGGAAGCATGGTAATAACGCCATAACATCCTTAATGCAGAACATAAATGTTTTTTTTTTCTTCAAAGATTAAGAGTTTATTTTTTTTCGGGTGACTCAGCCTGCTTCATCATTAGGCTTCATCGTTTTCACAAATGGCATAAAGGGTGGATTTTTGAACAGAGCATTATCCGCTAATGCAGCTTTATTTCGGAGAAAATGCATTATAAATCCGGTAAATAAAGCTGCATTATCGGATAGTTCTCTGTTCAAAAATCCACCCGTATTCATAGTATCAAAATTAGGGTTACCATACGCCCAGTTTCTCCGGACATGTCTTCTTTCTTCGCTTTCAGTCCGGGAGGAAAGCATCCAGTCTGTTACCATACGTCCGGATATTTTCCTTGGACATGTTCCTTTTTCGCCTTCAAATTTCCGTCTGACTGCTGGACGTCCTCATTTTGGCTGTCCGAAATATGGTAACCCTAATCAAAATTGAATATGTATCTTACCTGACACAGCCACCCCACATTCTCTCCCACACCGCGGTCACTCTGAGGCGGATAAGGAGCATCCCAAATTGCATTGGTAGAAACGGATTAACGAGAGCGGTTAAATAGGCTGAGATTATTGCAAGGAAACAACTTCATCTTGAAGATGATGTCGCAGGAGATAGGGTACATAGGGCGAATTTTGGCGTTCCCTTTGGGCAGAGGGACCACCTGTTTCCGTCACAGGACGCGAAAAACCGTTTCGATAAATTCGTATCATCATAGCTGTGAATGAGATACATGGCGGACCTGGTATCCACGCGTTAGTCACGTGGGGTACAGTTAGGCCTTCGCTGCTCGAAAGATAGGAATCCTAAGCCTCTCCAGGGCCTACTTCAGGATAGTAGGACTGCAAGTACTAATACAATAACTATGACTGTTATATGCAAGACTTACGTATAGCTGATTTGAAATAGAATTCGCATGTGGGCCAAACAGCAGGCTGAATATTTTCCTATGCTTTGTATGGCACTAACGTTAGGCATAGGCCTAATGTCTAAGTTAAGAGAACTTGAGAAATGTTGCAAGGCCTAACCTAACTTGGGGGCTCTCCTGTATCCTCATGATTATCCATTTAGCATTAGGCCTAATGCTAGGGAGCTAAGAAGCTTCTGAATCGGCTTAGAAGGTTCTAAAAGTATAATAGGCTGTATTTTGCACTCTTACATATAATGGGACAACTTGTTCAGTTTTTCCTGGATTGTCCAGTTTTCTAAATATGTATTTATCATCGAATACTTTGTATTCATGTTGCAGGAACACTTTAGTTCTGTTCTTTTCCAATTTGTGTACTTTTTCCATGCCCTAATTTTTGGTTTTACACAATGGTCTTCTGAATCTCTCAAAGCCCTCTCTGTGACCCTTTGCTCAGTGCCTCCCTCCCCTTCATGCCATCAAAGTCTGGATTAGCACATGTGAATGTGAAGGGGGTGATGGTGGTGAATGTTATCATCTGGAATTGTCCTGCATCCAGCATCCAAATATCTCTTCATGCCATTAGTTCCAGGCATACCTTATTTTTCCCCTATGTGTTCCTTATTCTTCCATTGCCCAGGTGGTCACCCTAATCCCTATAGATCCTAGTACAGGGAGGTTATTGGGTCAGTGTTTTTTCATTTCTTATGTTAGAACCTTTGAATTACAAACCTGTCCAGGCTAAGTATAATGTTTGTTAGTTAGATTATAAGGCAGCACAAGTTCTTCCAGGTGTGCCATAAAGCAATCATGATGCGATCAGTTGGTCTGAAATGCATGGAACCCCTTCAATGGCATATTGACAAAACATCATTGATGATCATGAAGTCATCCATATCAGCATTCAGCACTACTTTGAGTCCATATAGGAAGTCATTAGTGAGAAGATCAGAGAATGATAAGTTCCACAATTCTTCACTCATGACCCACAGAAAGCCAAAAAAGGAAATTCCAAATGCAGGTACCAGAATTGATAGTCACATAGTATTGATTTAGAAGATGAGCATGAAAGAGTGAAAAATTATCTGTTCATAAGCCTAACTTTATGTTAATTTGTTTTCTGCATTCCTGGAAGGTTTGAGGCGGCAGATGAATCTCCTTAATTTAACAGAGGAAAGATTAAAGGACATTATTGATCCAAGTGATACAAATCTTGAACTGGACCCTCAGAATCCTATGCCCATGCACCAAAAATATGTTCACACAGAATATGAGTGAGTTCTGATGCTCATGTGATTGAAGTTAGGACAGCTTATTCATTGTCATTTGAATACCTGAAGGAAGCTAAATCTGAGGGGAAATTTTTTTTTCTTTAGGAAGGAGAGGATAAACAAACTGAAGAAGGTGAAAAAAAAGTATTTTGCTGAGGAACAAGAACTAAATCTCCTCACATGGTCGGCCAAGGAGCAAATCCGATACCTCCACCATACAGATCCACAGCAGTGGACCCCTGAACACATTGCTCAATGTTTTCCCATTTCACCTGAAGGTGTCAAGGCAAGTATTGCAACTTCCATTAAGTGTACCAAAATGTGTTATTTGTGAAACCTCAAAATTGAAATCCCATGCATATTTTCATCTTTGTCTAATATGATCCAGCTTTCTTGATGTGAAGATGAAAGTTGCAAGTATTTTTTAATATTGTAGTGATAAAGTAACAACATGAGGCTTCTTATGGCAGTAGTTCCTAAGCTACATTGAAAGGATGAGTAAAATTTATGGATTACAAATCTAGACTCATGTAGATATACACACAGAACCATGAATTTAAACATGTTTAATATTTTCAGAAGCCCTGATAGAATATTAGAATATTATTAGAGAGAAGTCCATAATTAAGGAATTCATGGTATGGTTTTAGAAACTGCTGCAGCATAATCAACCCCTCCTGAATGAGAAGGCAATTGTGAAGCATGACACTGATGTTGCAAGGCGCTGGCGTAAACAGGGCCTGCAAGGTGGCCCCATCTCTGAGAAGGTGGCTGAAGAAGTTGCTCGAAAGTTATTCCATGCTCCCACTAAGAATCCAAACTGTGAGATTTTATATACTACTTTTTCCAGAATCTTATGACATTGGCAATAGGTTGGTCCAGCCGGAGCCCTTTGGATGGCATGCATAATCCACTTAATTCTACTTTTACTTTGGGGCATTTGTTTCACCTTTAGCATTGCCAGCATTGCCTGAAGGAAGGATGTCTTTGGAGCAGTCCAGTCCTAAAGGGGAGTTTGTGAAGTTGTATGAGCAGTACACGGGAGAAGGGGTGCAGAGACAAGAAAGTCCTGGTGTATTGAACATCAAGGAGGTTGGCATACCAATGGATCATCAGCATCAGTATGTGCAGTGGAAGATGGTTAGTTGTTGCCAGACTGTCATTCTTTTCTAGTTCATTTCTGGAGTTCACCCATCAGCCAATTATTGTACTAACGACTTTTGGCTATGTGGTTTCACATTGTCCATGACCACCTTCCAGACAAAGACGTCACAAAATTCTCATTGAAATTCTAGGGAAATAAATTTTCGGAACTGGATGGAAACCATCCATAGATAAAAGAAATTAGGGAGGAGCTTAAGTATTTCCCTTTCGGCTTCATGAGGTAAACTTCCTCATTTCCTCGTCCAATAATTTTTCATATTTTTCTCATAAACATTTTTCGTTTATGATTTCGCCTCGGAGCAATGTGAAGGGGAGGACCAAGAAGTTGGCAGATGCCCGAAATTTGTCTATTTGCTGGAGAAGGGAAACATTGCCAAGGAGAGGGGGAAAAGGGGAATAATAGCAGAAGAGGAGACGGAAGAAGGGATTTTGGGCGGCTGGTCAATTCCTTTTCTTCTCTCCCCCGTCTGATCATCGGCACTTTTTCATGCTACAAAGACATGCGGTCCCTGAGTCTGTTACTGTCTCGCGATTCTGATATCGCCCTCCCATCCTCATCTCTTTCCAAAGAAATCAGCGAGAAGACGAGTGGAGAGAAGGGAGAAAATAGGAGACACGTACTCAGACGCATCCTGATTAAAAGAACCCTCATCCCCTCACAGCTCAATCCAGTTTCCCTCTTCCATATCCTAATGACATCAGTATGGGTTCCTGGAAATGCTGTGGACAGGAGGGAGAGATTTTCTTTCGATTGAGAGAAGCCCTGCATTTTTCTGGTCCCATGGCCCTTCTCCATTCCAGAGAAACAGAAAATCCTCTCTATCCGATTCACATTTTATTGTTCCTTTCTGAGAAATTTGATTTTTCATGTCGCCTCACTCTCCCAAGAGACATGCTGGATCTTGCTCCCTCATTCCTCACTGTCACACAAGACTCGTTCGCGAGCTGATGCGGCTCATGCGCGCTACACATGCTCAACCAATGGACTCCATTAATTTAATTTAAACAATTTATACCATTCAATGACTGCACTTTTTTCAGCAGTTACACGTTATTTCCAGGGCCAGGTTACCGAACTACCGAAGAAGACATGCACCAAACCCCTGAATATGATGGAAAACAAAATCATTGTTCACTGAAATTACATCACATCCCCCCTCCCTCACCTTTCCTTCACAGGATTGTGCCAAGTGATACGGGGCAGTGCGCGCTCTACTTAAGAGCGCCTGAAACCTTAATCCGGTCATGAGTGCATCGGCGAATATTTAAACGCGGAGGTTATGAAAATTCCAGAATTGTAATTGTGTGGGCTGCCTAGTTATAAAGACCTGACCCTTCTCATAGGTGGTTTTATCTGCCTTCTTTTTCTTTTGTTTTGTTATGCAAAGAGAAAAATCTAATTTCCCCAGCCTGGAGTAGAATCATTTATGTTTTGTGCTTCTGTGATTTTGGGGCAAATCGTGTGATTGGTTAAGAGTTTCTTCCTTTTAATATGTGCCTTGTGAGTTTGGGAGCAAGTATTTATTGCGTTCATGATTCACCACTTTTACTATATATCGCTTATGTAAATCTGGCTTTATACTACCTTGGTACCGTGCCATTTTGTCATTTTTCTTGAGTTTTCTTCTTAAGCTTCCCTTTCTGCCAAACGGCAGGCAACTTTCATTACTAAAATTCCTTTTTTCATGCAAGGATGAAATGAAGACATCAGATGGAGATCCCTCTCCCCAAGTGAGGGTCAGAATAAGTGAGGATGAGAGACATAAGCAGGTGATGGAAGATGTCCGGGATTCTTTGCCTCACATTGTCTCAAAATATCAAAGCCGCTCGAAAGTTCTGCCGGAGGTGGTGCAGCAGGACCACTTGACCAAGGAGGCTTATCTCTATGACCCAGAAGTTGGCTATCAGGTATGGAGCCAAGAAACTCTCTTTTTCTACATTTCCTCATTCTGAGCACTCATTTAGTACATGGCTGCTATCAGAGCATGTCAATTTAGCTTTTTTTCATTTATTTTTATTCACCCTCTATCATTTATTTGCAATTTCCTTTTTTCACCTGCCTCTTTTCTTCTAGGGCCCTTTTGTTTACCATCCTTTTGCCAGCTCATTGCTAATGAAACAGTCTTGGTATTATTCTATCATATTGATTTCAGTTTCCAGTGAAAAAAAAAATTGTCGGATTCATCGGAGAAAGAAAGGCTGAGCCATCTTGGCTAGTGCTGGGAATAATGAGGATGAATGCTCTTCCTTGTTATTACCAGCACTAACCCAAGGAAAAAGTTTGGTGACAAATGAGCTCAGAGAATGCTCAAATGCATCCCACCTTGTCCACCCTTTCCTGGCAATCCCTGATTGCCAGGGAAGGAAATTCAGAGAAAATACTTTTTCTTTGAACACTCATTCTATGACTTCATCATCTATGGGGCTTATGAAATATTTCCAATACAGATTAACAACTGGAAAGAAATTTCCATGTTCATGGGCTTTAACCCTTTCTTCCCTACGGTGCCATTTGGAACCACCAATTTTCAAGGAATTTCTAGCATTTCCCACAAAATATTCTGAAACAACAGCTGTCACCTCTACTGCAGCAATGCACTCTACCTGATGATGTGGTCATAATGTGCTAATTGTGTGTCTGCAGGCATCCAGAGCAGATCAATGAGAGGGAATTGTGATGTTTTTGGAAAGTTTTGAAGAGTGATTAATTTCCTGAAATTCTTATCATAGCTATTTTTCCTTGGTTTTGGCAAGTTAGATTATAGAAATTAGCAAAAAAAAGTCAAGGTGCATTTGATGGAAAATAAGGTTGGATTATGGCTGAACTGATGAAGCTGCACAATTTTGTATTCTTTTGATTATTTTTCAATACATAAAATTTAAACTTTATTTAAGTAAAAAAAAAAATTATAAAGCACATGCACATATGTACAACCAACCATGCAGGATGTGTACATGTACATATCCTGCATTGTTGGCTGAATTGATTGTGCAAATAAAAATGAATGTGCCCAAAAGGTTTGTTTTGTGATTGTATATAGCATCCTGTGGGGAAGAAGACAACATCACCTTCAGATCGCATCTCCATCCCACCAGAGCGACTTCAGCCTCCAGGCCATGAAGATCAAGCCATCTATAGAGTTGGAAACTCATTCTATGATTCTGACGGAGAATTCCTGTTCAGTGTCCCATCTTCTCAGGAATGAAAGTTTGTGCCACCTTTTGTTTTACTTCTTATTTTGCTCATTCCTGGATTTTGAGGAATCTATTCTTTTAGTTTTGATCTTTTTGCGCTCTAAGAAGTTCTAAGGTATGAGAATTTTAATGATGAACTTTCTTAATGGAGCAAATTGTTTCCATATTCCATTCAACCCTTGAAAGACAGCATTCACTTTTCAGAAGAGAAGCTTTTGCTTAATTCAGACTGTAATTTCATGCATACCTGCATAGATTTTCGAAATCGCTTATCCCAACATAATGGAGTCGCTGTTCGAGCAGGCGGAGGAGCATCTTCACGATACTAGGAAACGGACTTGAGCTCGGCTGGTGGTGTACTGAGCCTCTTCTAGGAAAAGATTCGTGAAGTAGCTCGTTCACCTTGCATGAGGTCTACCGACTGAACTCTTGCCGGTCATTTTAGATCGGAAGACTTTGGGAGTCACTCGAGAACCAGACCCCTAGGCACTTATGAGGTACATGTCAGTGGGGTCCCCACAGACACGTAAGGCAAGGCTTCTCAAGAGGACCATGGCCTGCGTTTTGAGGACGCTCGATTTCGTTTCGACCGCAGTACATTCTGAGTCAAACCTCAGCTCTGAACCTCCTGTTGAGACTGGGCAAAAAAGACGGTATCATCGGCAAAGAGAAGCATCTTTATTTCGATGCAACCGATGCTGACTCCCTCAAGGCTCAGGCTACGCCTACAGATCGTATACCATGCCCGCGAGAAACAAGGCAACCCTGTCGGAGTCCCACACTTACGGGAACGAGTCTTTCGCTCATTCCGTTCACTCGAACGCAACTCCTGCAATTATTGTGTAATGATTGAATGGCCCGCAGTATCCTACTGTTGACCCCATACTTCTGCAGCTTTCTCCACAGCTTCCCCCGAACTACACGGTCGTATGCCTTTTTGTGATCCACAAAAAAAGCACGTAAACCTATTTGCCGTGTTCCCAACATCTCTCGAGAATGTGGTGTAGATTTGAACCGGCCCTGCCTTTCCTCTAGGTTGATGTTAGGCCGACTGTATGTAGTCGACGGTTACTAACCTTTTCCACGAGTTCCGATTCACCGCTGAATGCTAGCACGTTCCGAGTCTCAATATCCAAAGTCCGCTGGCGAGGTCATTTGCCACCTCGTTCTGGCCCTGGTATGCGATTTGAGCATCGTGACGGAAATATGCTGTGGCCGGTGGCAAGCCGACTGATAAGTCTGGATGTCGCACGATGGGGTCCGACGAATATAGAAACATCGGATTGCCTGGCCCCGATAGCCTACTTATCGACTGTCAACCCGGAAGCATAATGACTATTGCAGTCCTGATTATCCTTGGCGAATACCGATCCAGTATGAAACTCCTGAGCCAAAGGCGTCTTGCAAGTGCTGGTTCGTCTCTGTCACGCTCAACAGAAGCCCCGTATCATGGTAGGACCTGGGACACTTTCGAATCACTGGGGGTCGGTGCTCGCGACATCCACGCCCTCAGCTATTTCTTTGTTGTGAAAAATGAAATCCCAGCAGTGCAAGAGCTGGAAAAGGTTACACCTGTACTTCTAATGTCATGAAGTAATTTCACCAAGTATAAACGTCCGGTTAGGTGCTATTATGAAATTTGCAAGATGAAAAATTTGACCCATCAGACCCAAATCTAAATCTATCATGTATGAACGAGAAGGAGGCATAATTGGTGAGAAGACAGAGCCCTCGAGGACTCGCCCTGCAACCCCAAATTCTCAAAAACTTCCGCAGTTACAATTACAGAATGCTCCCTTATTGACAACCAGTTACTAATCCAGATGACCATCCTACCTTGACGCCTTTGTGCCTACAATTTAACCTGCAATCTGTGGTTAATAATGGTATCAGGAACTAACTTGACCAATTAAGCCTAATTAGACAATGTCACACAAGATTGTCCTCATCGGTTGTTTGGCCAATCTTAAAAATTTGCATTATCATGAAAACAAGAATTTTATCTCCAAAAGCTGAGCTGAGAATGAATATCCAATGAACAAGCACTCCTTAACCCTTTGTAGATTAATTTCTTCGATCCTCTGTCTCTAGGGGCATACACGACAGGACTGCGAAGGGTTGAGAAACTAGAACGTGTGCGTAGATACGATAGATTGTTCTCCCCCCCCCCCCCCCTTATACATGGTAGGCACAAAGCCCCTTCAATGACAATTTTAAATAACGTAAAAATAGCATGAAACAATTTTTTTTTACAAATCAAATGTAATTAGGGATCCAAAATATCAGTGTTCAGCCCATCATTGTCAAGGCATAACTCAATGCGGCGCCATGTTCTCTTAGCCATCTTGTCCTTTAGTTATTTTCAAAAATGCTGCCAAGACTGATGTTTTGAGTTGGTCAACTGTCTGATAACGATGTTTTGACACGTCCTTTGATGAACCCCCATACACTGTTTATCACAAGTTGATCACCTATAAAAACAAAAAAAGTTTTTTTTTTGCAAGTTGAAGGACTTTGTGACCACCCTGTAAATCAGTGCTACAATCACTAATTTCAGTCCATATAAACTTCTCCGCACAAAATGGCTTCAATAAATCTATTCTTAGTGGCAATTCTACCTCCTGAGTTCCTCAAGTACCGTACACAAGCTGAAATCCCATCAGGTTGCCTTTCCCAATTGAAGTTTGCCTACTTTATTTATGATCTCTTTCTCTGTTAAGACAATATCCAAGAGAAATGCATAGGGGGACCTTGATCATTGTCTATACCCAGTGGCGTAGCGAGGGAGGGGGGGGGGGGGGCTGAAGCCCCCCCCCCCCCCCCCCCCCCCCTCGCTACGCCACTGATCCTAAGGGTATGACCCCCAACCCCCCCCCTTGGGCACGCCACTGTGACACACACAAGCCCTATATCAATGGCATGTTCTCTTTGATCTGCTTCTAATGATGGTTCCTGAAGTCAGTACCTCGAAAGCGGCAAGATCGATCGCATAACCCCAACGTCATGGGACAGATTTTCAATACAGTAACGAACATGTGAGTGGCTCTTTCTAAATTGGGCGCGTTTTATGGTTGGCGTGCTCAGAATTTGCTATGGAGCTCTCTGACGTATAAAGGGTCTACTTGCACCTGAAAATAGATGAGGGCCTGTCCCAAGGACACGAAAAAGAAGCAATGTTCAAAGAAAGGGTAACAACTAGGGCTGTACTGGTAGCCACATTTGGCCGATGGTCGATTATCATTTCATACCTATCTGCCGGTGCCGATGCCTATTATGACATCTAAAGAAAGAACGAAGATCCATTATATCAAATATTTATTCAAATGTACCTATTAGCAAGCCATGATAATTTTTTTTTTTTTTTT